GAAAATAAAAATGTTTCCGGGATTAATTCTTCATTTAATCTGGATTATTTAGAGTTTTTTCCTGAAACGAATAATTTATTTAAAAAKAATCAAAAAGTAAATTAAAACGAATCCATTTATTTTTATTTCCTCTGAGGTCCAAAAATAATAAAAAAAAGTCACTCAGAACCGCTCGTGCGTAAAAACCTGGATCCGGACTAAAAAAAAGGGACCCACCTTGGAACCTGTGGCCCAGGTACCGGTACCGGTGCAACAACCAGGGGTAGAAGGTGGACGGGTCCCGCTGCTGGCTGGCGAACAGCGCGTGCGGACTGTGCGACGAGGAGAGCGGGTGCGCGGCCAGCGCGTGCGGCGGCGCCACCGGGTGCACCGGCACGGCCGGGTTCGGCGGGTGGGACACCGCCTCGGCGAACACCAGGTCCGGGTTGGACGAGTAGACCCCGCGGCCGCCGCCGGGGTGGAAGCCGTTCAGGAACGGGTTCATGTGACCCGGGCTGGCATAGCTGAGCGCCGCGGGCCGGATGGGCTCCTCGGAGCGGGACGCCGCGGCGGGAGGAGGGTTGTCTTTGGCCACTAAAGACTCGATGGTGAAGCACCTCTTGGGCGCGGGCTGGAACATGGTCTGCGGGTCCAGGGTCCCCAGCTTAGGCGCAAACACAAAGTACTCCCAAAGAAGAAGAAAAAAAAACGGCGCAAAGTTTGTGCGCAGGGAAAGAAAGTTGCGGAGGAAGAAAATCTCCCGGACTTAATCCATGGACGGCGGCGGCGCTTCTTCCAGCGGGCTCGTGCGGGCAGCTTTGTTAGTTCACGAGCCTAATTAGCGCGGTGTGTTCCTCTGAAGGCAGGGAGGACATGGTGATTGGCCGCTGCGCTGCTGCCGCTGCTGCTGCTGCTGCTGCTGCTGCCGCGCGCCTGGAGCTGCAGCAGCAAAGACGCTTAAAAAGTGCGTAAAAAAAAGTAGTGCAGGAGAGAGAGAGGCGGACTCCCCACTCCTCTGCGCGCGCACGTACACACACAAGCACGCGCACATATCTGCAGGACCTTTAAGTGGTTGATCCGGAGCTGGTTCGGCTTTAAAGGCCTTTAAATGGGTCAATAAAAGCGGTTTGAGGGAAAGGAGAGCGCGGGTTTTTTTATTTACAAAAATCTGATCAAACATTCATTAAACATCAAAGCGGCTTCGTGAAGGAACAGTTTTCATATCAATGCGCGCGGAGGAACAAAACTCGGTCTAATTGGATGATTTGTTTCTGCAGCTGAATGTTTGAGGGAAATTATCGGGTTTTTTCGTTGTTTTCCGGAAGTTTTACCGAACGAAGACGAACCCGGTCCAGGTGATCCGGAACCTGAAGCCCCCAGACCAGCAGAACCTCATCAGAACCACAGAAAACCCGTCAAGTTTCACACAATAAATCAGTTTATTAATGTCTTATAAAGAAATTATTCACCACTTTATAAAACATTAATAAACTCAGATTCAATATTTAGCAAATTATTTATTTTTGTACTTTTTACTTGGCTTTGAATAATTTTATAAAACATTTTATTTACAATTATTGT